CCTAAATCCAAAACACAGCACTGTACCGGCTACTAGGAAGAAAATTAACTCTATCCCTGCCAAAACCAGGACATAAGGTCACCCGTCCAGTTGACCAAGGGAAGCCAGTAGATGTGATGCTTTTGGATTTTAGCAAAGCTTGAGGATACTGTCTCTCACAGTATCCTTCTGGATAAACTGTCCATCACACAGCTAGACATGTCCATAATATGTTGGGTGAGCAATTGGCTGATGGGTCAGGCTCAAAGGGTTATAGTAAATGGTGGTTACATCAGGCTGGCGGCCAGTCACCAGTGGGAGTTCCCCAGGGCTCAATTTTAGGGCCAGTGCTCTTTAATGGTTTTATAAATGATCTGGACGCAGGAATCGAATGTACATTAAGTAAGTTTGCCAATGATACTAAACTAGGAGGAGCTGTGGACTCCCTTGAGGGTAGAGGGTCCTTACAGAGAGATCTGGATAGACTAGAGAGCTGGGCAATCACCAACTGTATGAAATTTAACAAGAGCTAGTGCTGGATTCTCCACCTGGAACAGGGCAATCCTGGTTATACATAAAAACTGGGGGACAAGAGGCTGGAGAGCAGCCCCGCAGAAAGAGATCTGGGGGTTTCGGTTGATGGCAAGTTGAATATGAGTCAACAGTGTGCCCTGGCAGCCAAAAGGGCCAACCGTGTCCTGGGGTGTATCAATCATCAGCATAGCTAGCCAGTTGAGGGAGGTGATTGTCCCACTCTACACTGCACTGGTGCAGCCCCACCTCGAGCAGTTTAGGTTGCCTCAATATAAGAAGGACATCAGACTATTAGAATGTGTCCAGAGGAGGGTGACCAAGATGGTGAAAGGCCTCGAGGGCAAGACTTACAAGGAGCGGCTGAGGTCATTTGGTTTCTTCAGCTTGGAGAAGAGAAGGCTGAGGGGTGACCTCATCGCAGTCTACAGCGTCCTCAAGAGGGGCAGCGGAGCAGGAGGTGCTGATCTCCTCTCTCTGGTGAGCAGCGATAGGACACGATGAAATGGAATGAAGCTGCGTCAGGGGAAGTTGAGATTGGACATGAGGAAAAGGTTCTTCACTGAGAGGCTGGTCGGTCACTGGCACGGGCTCCCCAGGGAGCACCAAGCCTGACAGACTTCAAGGATTGTCTGGACAATGCTCTTAGTCATATGGTTTAGTTTTAGGTAGTCCTGTGAGGAGCAGGGAGTTGGACTTGATGAACCTTATGGGTCCCTTCCAACTTGAGATGTTCTACGATTCTGTGATTCTATTTTGAGCATACAAAAGTTGACATTACACTTTCTGGTTTTATATTTATAAATTCTGTTTCATGATCTAGAAATGTTTCATATACTTGTTAGTTTTAGGAATGATATGCTTGTAGCCTCCCTCCATTCCTTACTTTTAAAAATTTTAAGATTTGGAAAGAAACAAAAGAAGAATATTGTGTTTTTCCCTAAGATATACTGATGGAATGGAGCTTAAATCATCCTTTTAGTCATGCAGATCACATTCATGAACAGATTATATCTCCCTTTTACGTACTGGCTGGCATATGCATAAAAAATGAACGGATTAGGCACAATCCTTTTTATTGCATCTTTCATCTCAACAAGCTTATTTGTATTAGTCATGGGAATAAATTAGATGTGCAAACTGTAGTTTGTCTTTTAATGAAAAAAACTGATCTTTTGTCCTTTTAATTCTGATAGGAAATAATTCTGGTTGTGTTTTTTGGTGCTGAATATGTGGTCCGATTGTGGTCTGCAGGCTGCAGGAGTAAGTATGTTGGTTTCCAGGGAAGAATACGGTTTGCCAGAAAGCCAATATCAATTATCGGTAAGATTTAAACTCTTTTTTTTTTCCTTAACTTTGCTATTATCATCCGTTTTAAAGTAAAGATGTCAACTACTGCAGAGACCATATTGCATATTGCTCAAAAATGAGCTATGTCTATTACTCAAGCATTTATCTGCTTTGTGAACCTGTGCAATTATTTCTTCTTTTGGATTGCTAGAACTGAACACTTAAAATATGGCTGTGAGACACAGGCAGACATCAGCTTAAGAAAGGCAAAATTGTAAAGTGAAGAAATCTTTACTAAATCTACTTAGGTAATTGGAGAAAATTGACAAGATTTTGAACACAAAATCCTTCTTTAGGTCTGCTGTAGAAAGCAAACACGAGGGTGAGTATAAACTGGAAAAAACATGGAAATGTGCAAAGTATAACTCAGGAAAAATTCCCCTGGGTAGTACTAAAGCAGTTTTAGATGGTTTGAAGGACTATTGTGGGTAGCATCTCTGGAGTAGGAGAGGGTTTAGGGGGAGAGGTGACTAATAGAACCTGTGGAACAGTGAGGGATTAATAAAAGGTGATGTTCGGACAAAATTATAGTAGACCATAAAATCAGTCTTTCTGTTTTAAGCCTGTGATTTTTATATAGACTCCAGTAGAGCTGTGAATTTTACGTTACTCGAACATCAACTCATTGAGTTTTAAATAGAGCAAAGTGGGAGAGGTGAAAAGGGGAGAGAATGAGCTGATATTTCCTTAACCATCTGTGACTTTATGAAACTTGGTACAAAAACTCAGGAAACAACATATTCTATTATACGTTTAGATGTGGGTAGTGAATAATGTGACAAGATACTGTACGCTGATCTAGTTTCGTGATCTAACCATGAAGCCTATAGGTAACTTTTTTCCTCCTAATCATGTTCTTGACTTCCCTTTCAATAAATAAATGCTTCTTAGGTAGGTATATTAGACAGGTATATTAGAATACACAGGTGCAGGATAAAATGTGGCAGTCCCATTAAATTGTGATTTCAACTTGATAGTGGTATTGTGCATCTACCACAGAAAAAATTAATGTTTGTATAGCCCTTGGAGAAGATACAGTGGTTTTTGTTAAGAAAAGCTGAGAATAACTACAGCTGGTTGTGCATTCAAAGGTATCAGTACTGTTTTTACATTTAAAATTCCCTTAAGAATACAATATGTTTAAAGTCAAGATTTGTTTTTACACATCAAATGCAGATGGAACTGTGTCTACACTAATGTAAATAGCTAAACATGGGAAATACATTTGCTGTGAATGATCTCATTCATGTCAATGACTCATCATTTTCAAATCAACAAGAATAAAATACAAACATTAGAAAAATTAAAGGATTAGAACAGAATGTAAAAAATATGGTATTCATTTTACTTTTGCATTAATATAAAAGTCTTTATTTTAAAATTAGAAAATATCATTGAAATGTCTTTGATATCAGAGAGATTTCTTCTATGGGTTTTTGTCCACGCTAAAATTTGGATTAATTCTCAGAAGTTCAACTTGGGTAGCAATTTTGAACTTCTTTAATTTCTCCCATTCTCTTTCCTTTTTTTTTCCTGTCTAATTGTAAATAAAAATTATTTTGGTGCTTATTACCAGAGAGAGATTTAGTAGTTAAGCCTAGTTATTACTTTCTTTTATAAACTTGTTTAATACTATTGCATTCTGTGCTGCATAGAATAGTATGTTAACATGCAACTTCTATAAGTGGGGAAGGAAAATGTTAAGCTAGGACACACTATTTCTTGAATGGTCTTTTAAGATTTTATCTAAAATGGAAAATGATGCAATTTCTCTACCTTGTAAATCAGAACTTTTTATTTCTTAGGTAGATTTTCTAAAGTTAGCCTAATTTTTCTCCTCTTTGCAGACACATTATAGGTGATTACATGTAAGTGGGAAAAGAAATTCTGTAATTAAAGAACCTGTCAGGAGACATAGATTGAATTCGTTCCCAGCATAGCAAGAATCCCTAGAAAAATCACTTTGTCTCTCCATGCTTCTTCATTCCCTAGTTCACAAAATGAGCATGTTTAAAGAGTGTGCAGTGTTCATGTACTATGGCAGCAGCAGTAATAGTGATACCTTTCCTAAATATTGATTTAACACTTCCATTACTTACTGTTTCAGTAGGGTTAGTTTAGGAGCTAAATGCTTCTGAAAATCCCAGCCTAATTAGGGTTTTATGAAAGGCAGGTACCAAGCACAGGCAAAAGCAAGAGAATGTCCTTTCACAACCTCTTTTATCCTTTTGTTGTTGTTGCAGAAAATGTCACAAAGTACCAATTTATGAATTAACTTTTGTTTCTCCTGGTTTTGACAGTATGCAATTTGAAAGACATAAGGGGGACATAAGTTATTGGTGTAAAGACCTGAGCCCGCATATGTGTGTCCATCTCATATTGTCCTTAAGTAAAGGACAATAGAACTTTATTTATGAGCACCTTTAATTGGTTATGTATACAGCTCTGAAAAAGCATCAGCACCTGGTATGTAAAGCTCCAGTTACCTTGTATAAACCTAATTTATGAAGTGCCAATAGAACACAAAAGTTCAGCAAAAAAGCATGTGATGTAAATCAAATTCAAATATGTGCATATAATCTGTTTAATTTAAGTCCTTATGGATGTCATATTCTCTCCAGACTACTAAGAACACACCTGCAAGCTGAGGGCTATTTACATTCTGTAAAATACTATGGCAACTAAAAATTAAAATACAAATGCAAATATTTTTAAATTTAAAACAGTAAAAAGGATTAATTGCTCTTAATCAAAAAGCTGAGAATTGCATACTAGAAAGTGAACTTGTGAGAACATTAGAAACAAGTCAGCAATTTGCTCAAAAAAAGCAGTACTCAGGTAAGCTGCATTATAGGTGTTGCTATGTGCTGTGCTGAAGTTTATGCATAACTAAGTAATATTTCACTGGCAAGCTGAATTTTTACATAGAAATGGCAGCTGTTTGGAATTTCTCAAGGATTCCAAACATAAGAATAAGCCACGGGAACAGTGGACTAGCAGTGGATGAGGTTTTTCAAAGCTGTGTAATAATAATAGCTGTATGTACACATGCTAAATTGCAGGGAATGTGACTTCTGTAGGTCTGTTGTCTACATATGTAGTGCACGTATTATATAGAAGATGCTATGTCATTTTTGTCTCTGTATACCTCATGTGTATGTACAGACATGTTTGCAAACGTGTAAGTAGGTAGAATGTTTGAGAAGGATATCCACATATTGCTGTTTATTAATTACTGGAATTCAATTTTTATAATTACCAAGGCTTCCCGACACTTTCTTTTTTAAAAACTAACATAAATACTAATGTAATGCTAATCTAAAAACTAATGCTTGTTAGAGTTGAAAAAGTTATTTAAACAAATGTTGGCTCTTTATCCTGATATTTTCCATGCCAAGTGTCTGCTTCAGTTTGAGTCTTGTGGAGACATTTCATGCAAAATATTTAAGCTGTTCCTGAAAAAGGCAATTCCGGCGATTTCTTGTGGAGAAGCACTAGCGCATCGACACTTCAAAGCAGATACTTGAAGCTTAATGAGAAAATAGCTTTTTGATTGTCACTGAAAATCAACTCAAAGCTGACTAACAAGCCTCTGAAAAATTGGTAGCTTGCTTATGCTTAAAACGCCCTGCTAGAAAATGCTCTTATATTCTTCAAAGATTCAGTCTGCACTGAGCTTCACAATTCAAATTTCAGGTTTCTCTGAGCAGCAGTGCTGGGGCTTGAAGTGGAAAATCTGTTGGTTTTGTTCTTATTGTGGTGCTCTTCCTGAAACTGCCCAGGGCACATGGAAAGGGAAAATACCAGGCTTGAATGCTGAGTTGAAGTGACGTGGTAGGAGGAATGGACTGGGACATACAGGCTCAGTGAAATGACAGAATGATGGATGCTGATGTAAGAAGAATGAATTAAGAGACTGACAAGCAAGCAGGAGGTTGAAGGGAAAAACGTAGGGACTGAAAATACGTGGGATTGAAAGGTGGCAGTGTAAGGGCAGAAGGATATGCTGAAGACCTAGAGTGTGAGATAGGACTGTTTGAACCAGGAAACTGGGATTAGTATGAGAAGCCTAAAGATTGGAAACTGTCATGAAAACTAGGAGCAGGGAAGAAGCAGAGATAGAAGAACAGGTTTTTTGGGGAAAAAATGAAATAGCTCTACCATGTAGAACACACTTTCAGAAAACTGGAAAGTACAAATGAAAAATCTATGTTACTGTCACTACCGATTGTAACTCATTTCATGTCAGTCTTTTCCTCCTTCAGTGCTGGTCATCGGGTGGATATGTATATGTCTGATAACTTAGTAAGGACATCGGGTGCATCATTTGCTTAACGGCAAAGATCTTTATTATGATGTGATGGGAAGAAAACTCTCCCTAAATTCTGAGTGTTTACAAATGTATGTTCACGCACATACATGATAAAGGAACAGCATAAAAAATTTGGAAGGTCTGGTACTCAAAAGTTAAGATTATCCCAAAATGGAAGCTCTTTCTGTAGCCTTAACTTATCCCTCTCTCTATTTATTTTCAATTTCATAAATGTACAATTATTGTAGTACAGTTGTTAAACTGATTGAGTGCTATCCCTTGGGGAGGAATCCTGCTTTTACAGCAAAAATCAGGCTGATACTGGATATTAATCCAAGTCAGAGAGTGAAGGATACTGTTGGTTGTAGAACTGCTGCAATATTTGTTGCAGCAACTACACGGTTGTGAATGAGGCAGCAGAATGTTTAAAGGAGAGGGGAAAAATGTTACCCTTGTTGAAGGCAACTGTTGTTGCCTCTGAAGTTGGATTCTATCCTGCATCTTGCCTAGGCATTGCACGGAAACTCTGTGGCAGTCATTTAAATCAGTTTTCACAAGTGTGCCTCATTTTCTGGATGTCCAAATGAAGACTTTGAAGTCAGGTTACAGAGGTTCTGAGCTCTCACAGCTGCAAGTGAAGTCAGCAGGCACTGGTTTTTTTTAAGTGCTATATAACGTTAAGTGCTCTGAAGAATAAAGTACTGCCTGTTTAAAACTGGCAAGGAAAATTAGCAAAACTTTTCCTTATTCTGTCTACATTTGCTACCCATTTATAATACTATCCTTTATTTTCTGGTTAGAATTTGAAAGTGAAGCATTTAGATGCTCTAATGAGGATAGCCACAGAAATGCCCATGAGGAAATTAGAAAAATGTCTTCTCAGAATAATGTTAGATATTCTAATGTTGGATATAATGTTCAATAATTAAAAGCAATAGACCTGTTCACTGAACTAGGGTAAGAGAAAATCAGGGATGCTGGCACTGTGAACACAATCCATCATTTGCATTGTATAATGCTGGAACTGTGTAAACTGTGGAGTTGTGGCAAAAAAATGGAACTCTGGAAACAATTATTTTTTCATACAATTAAAGACTGTATCACAAAGTAAACCAACAACTCTGATTCTTTTTAGGCAACCTTTGTTCTGACAGTTCCCTAAATGTTGAAAGCTTGGCTTTACAGCTTTGGTACAATTTTTAAACTAAGTATATGTATGTGTATATGCGTATGATACTTGGCTTTATGCATTTCATTATTGATCGAAGCGGACGCTTACTTTTCCTCTTAAATCAAGAGCCTTGAGCCAAAATGTGGATTCATTTCTAGGGTGTACATATGCCTTTGCCTTTGTTGTTTTTGTGGCAAGCTGCCTGATCTGTCAGGATCATTAAAATTTCCATTATTAAATTCATCATGGAAGAAACTGTATACTGAAACAAGTAATTGTTTTTCTCATGTGAAACTATTACATTAACTTACTGCCCACCAAATTTCAGCTAACTTCATTTCTTTTTCTAAAGTGCTTTCCTCAGTCTGTATTTGTGTGTTTCAGTGCTGAGAGCTAACATTCAATACATTCTTTCTTTTTTTTTAACAGATCTAATTGTGGTAGTAGCCTCAATTATTGTTCTGAGCATAGGATCGAACGGACAGGTGTTTGCCACCTCTGCAATAAGGTATGTTCTTCTAGTGACTGTAGCTCTTCACAACCGCAGAGCTATATTAGATGTATATCTAATTTCCCAATTTCCAAATTAGATGTATATGTAATTTTCGTAATATAGGAAAAGTTATTATATTGAAACACTGGACAGTGGAAGACTGTGTGTTACTGTGCTTGGTCACTGGTTGGGAAACGAGTGCAGAAACAAGGCATATGAAGAATGGTGGAAATGGTGAAGCCAAGAGGAGAAAACTAAAGAAACATTATGTCCTATAAAAAACATCAAACAGCTCTCTTTCTGAGACAAAAGAGTATTACAGAACATCGGTTTATTGAAGAAGTAATCCTGACAGCACTTAACTCAGTACTTTTTGAGTACGAGTAATTACTTTGTTTAAAGAATAATTATGCTTTGGTGGATTTGTTTGGCACAAGTAACTCATACCATACATGAATCAGAAACATTTGATGTCTACAGTGTTTGTTCAGCTTGCATCAAGTACTGCAAGCTTGTTTTGGGAAGTAAAGTCGGTAAATAGAAGAAAGGAATGATATCAGAGTAGGTGTACTTCCCACTCCTTCTAACTTAACTTGCAAGATGTGCTGCATGTTCTGTTACAAGCAGCTGATTTTCAGTGCAGCCTAATCACTGGGAAGTGAGAATGTACAGCACTGTCTAAACTGTCCAGCTGTGTAGACAAACACTGGAGGGAACTAGATGTATAAGGTATTTTTAAGGTAACTATTACCATAGAACATTAATCCTTACATGATGATAAAGACTCACACAGGCAGCATGAATGTGATTTATCAGCACATATAGGAGAAGAGGAGGGTGAATGTGAAAATTCCAAAGATTTTGTTTAATTTAACTAGAAGTGTAGGAAGGACTTTAATGAAAAGGCCTGCTGTGTGTTTATATGTGGACCCAGGTGGCTTTGGGCTCAGTGCAGCCTTTCCCGGATGTTAAATTATACAGTCACTGTCCTACAACTCAGAATGCTTTCTGCCAGAGAAGCTTAACCCACGTCTCTGCAGTGTTGTTATTGCCCCATTGAAAAACCATCTGGGTTAGGCAAGTCTTAGTCCCATCAGGTTTCCTCAGAAGTATGATGTGAGTGGCTGTTTTTGAATAATTAAGAACGAATGAATCTCATATCCTTGCCTTTGCTTTTGTTGCTTTTAAGGTATACTCTTATGGTCTTCTTTGGACTTCCCTAAAATCCCAGGAATCCCAGAAAGCATGGGTGCATGCATGTTAGGTTGTTTTCTTGTAGAATGAAGTTGCAAGCTCCAGATGCACTGGGTATGATAGGTTGACATTTTGATCCCTGCAGCAACCAGTGAGACTGAAACCTAGTAGCACTGCAGAGTTCACAGCAGAGCCTTATAGCCTTCTGTCCTTACTGATTTAAGTTCACCAAATTGGTAAAAATGGTGTTCTTTCCAACCAATTTCTTTTCTCTTTTCAGAGGAAATGGGTTGTACATGTTCAGAGGCTGTGTTTCTGGAGTTTCTTGTTCACTATCTTGTTTTTTAAATCTTTATTTGTAAAATTGCCAGCCTATAACATGCATGTCAGCACTTGGCAGTAACATAGCCGTAACCATCTCAGATACAGCAAAGACAGGAAAATCAAGAACTGCCATTAGGTCAAGGCATCAAGAGATGTGTCTAATAATTGTACAGGGGAGCTACGTGTAGATCTCTCCCCTCCTGACATAAGCAACCAATGAGCTATTACATTACGTAAGTCTATTGGTGCTCACGTATTTGGTAGTCTTGTAATTCTTCTTGGACTCATGTTTCAATTAACGGGTTTCAAGTGCATATTTTAAAGTTTCCAGCTAATTAAAATTATTATTCCAATGGCATATCAAAGAACTAACAAATCATGGTGTTCATATAGGCAGTCACTGATATGTGATTTGATAGTCAGGATTATTGTGTGCTTTCCAAAAAAATGACAAGCATTCGATCATTTGACTGTCAACTGTGAAAACTCAGAAAACCTGCTTTCTGAATAAAGGAAAAGTTGGGTGTCTCAGAAGACAGTATATCTTTCCAGTCTGAGTAACACCAGTGTCTGAAGGATGGCACCATGCTGAGTTTCCTGCCTGTTGGTGTAACCCAGAAAAATGCAGCCACAGTGGAATTGAAATAAGAAGATTGAATTAAAAAACAAAAACAACAACAACAAAATTTTAAGGATTGCTAAAAAGAGCTAAAAATACTTTTAGTGAAAAATTTTTGGGTAGATGAATTCAACATCAATCCTTTCCTGCTCTTCACTGTTTTGTTTCAGTGATAAGACAGTAAGATGGGTGTAGGCAAAGTTCATTGTTGAAAGGGTAACTAGAATGAAATATTTCCATTGAATAAAATTCTGCTGCAGAACCATATGGATAATTATTTTTCTTTAGTTGAAAATATTTGCAGTTTATGATTCAGTTATTGTTCTAAAATCACATAGGACTCTACCTATTTCCAATTAGATGATTTCTATAATTTACACAAAAAGGACTTCAGTAATACCATGTTTGATTCACATTCTGCTTTTGGCAAATAGAGAAAACAGTTTGCTCTTGCTATTTATGTTAGCAAAGCTTGAAGCACTGGTTTTGCTTGGAAAGGAAGCATTTGAGAATCATAATCAGGTAAAATATGCAAGTTTGCTCTGAGTTTGAAAGCATCTATTTTAGACTATTTTCATTGTTTTTCTTTTAACTAGTTGTTGTCCTAGTCAATATTTCTGAATGTATTTGAATATAATGAAATGTGATCTAAACATACTGTCTGCTGAGATGCCTCAAGTCTAAGATGCAACCCTAGCCAGGAACAGTGCTATCACAGTTCTCTAATATGGCAGTATGTTAGTGAACATAGTCAACTATGTATAGATAGAGCAGTATTGTTCTCGATGATTAGTTTTATTTAATGTCCTATTTTTCTTACAGGGGGATCCGATTTCTCCAGATACTTCGCATGCTTCATGTAGATCGACAGGGTGGCACCTGGAGACTATTAGGATCAGTTGTTTTCATACATCGTCAGGTATTAGCTCTTTAAAGATGCCCATCATTTTGTTTTCTTTAGTATATTCTTTTCATGGACTTCAAATTGTAGTCTTGTTTAAACGAACAGTTACTGTTGCAAGAGAAAAAATACTTTGAAAGCCCATCATGTGTTTCTTTCTACTTTTAAAATGGGAACACTATTCTTTACTTCAGGTCAGTGGCTAACAGGGTATCAGCATCAGTATTTTTTTGGAAATTAACTGTTGTACTCTTTGATGTTATTCTTCAATATAATTTATTAAATGCAGTTATGTGGGCTGCCTTTCATATTGCAAATACTGTCCGCTGTCTTCACAGAAGATGTGTTCCTAGCTTTTTTTTTCCTTTTCCTAGGAAAAACAAATACTAGTGGAAAAGCCTTGATAGAACAAGTCAATTATTTAAATCATCCTATTTCCTCTGCCTGAATAGAGGAGAAAGGAAATTAGAAAGGAGTTTTCTAATCCATTCTATAAATAAAAATACTATGTTCTGATAATATGCAAGAAAAGTTACTTTTTCAAGGGTATAGTCACAGAGGTGAACATGGCTCTAAATAGTTATATGTCTGTTAAAGCTTTGAAACAGTTATTCTGTATAAAAGTTCATTAAGCAGGAAAAGCTTAAATGTTTTAGTGGAGGCTTTTAAAAATTTCTAGCTGAAGGCGTCTTTCTGGGGCTTCATGGAATCTCTTGATGAAAAGCCGACTTAGCTTTATGAACATAATAATAAACTTTTATCATTAGCCTTTAAATCTTCCATATCATACCATACTGTGGAGGGCTAATGTGCTATGAATCTTTACATCAGACTTGTAAGGGTGGTTCTTTAACCTACTTTTTATGAGTGTAGATTTGTTCTCCAGATATTGACAAATAGTTATAGATTTCCACACAGACATTGTTTCATTTGCTATGTAGAAAACTTGTTCTGGGGCAGAGAATGGGAGGTACTTAATTCAAAAGATTAATTTAATATTAAAAGTTACTTTTCTTCTTGTTATTTTTTTCCTCCAGTACTGTAGGAAATTTTATGTAACGATGGCTGTGCAGCATCGACGCACACCGAAGTGCTCTAGTATAAAGCCTACTTTCATCCTGTACAACAGGATGACTTTTAATGCTCCAAGTCTGTGTGGTCTTCATTTATTATGGTCACATTGCCTGGATATCTAGCTAGGGAGAAGCTGATATCCAAATACACTTTCTCAACATTTGCTAACGTTACTGACAGAGGTGCTTGAGAGAATTTTTTCCTGTGGGTGTTCAGAGTTTTAGTCAAGAATCTGGAAATACTGTCTCCAAAATATAACACTTAAGTCTTAAATGTCACAAACATAAATAAGTTCAATGATTTAAAATGAAAAAAAAAATACCCTTGGAGAAGTGAATTTATGAATAAACGCACCTGAAGTTCTGCTAATCCAAAGAAGTGATTATGATGATATATAAAACTCCACAGATCTGTAGTACTTGTCAAAGCAGATCACCCACTAACACATTAATAAAAAAAAATCAAACACACATTCCTATATTGACATTGGACAAGTGTAGCTGAAACCCTAGCATGGTACCCAACGGAAGGGAAAATGGAACCTTTATTCCTGTCCAGCCTCTTAAAGAAATTTTTGTTTAAAAAAAAAAAAAAAACACAAACAACAAAGACACCTCAGCTGCTTTTTCTTTACAGGCAGAGTACAAGGTCCTCATTTATTTGTTGAGTTTGGTACTTTCAGAAAAAATGGGACCCTAAACCCTTAAACAATGTGAGAAAATAAATTCACGTCTTTGTGACCTGTGAAAATAACAAGCACTTGGACCTCTGTGGGCCCAGAAGAGCTTGCTAAAGTTGTCACCAATGATTTCCATGTGTTTTGGAATTTTACATATAGCTGTATTAGCTCACTCAGGCCCGATTTGGCTAGGATGCTCTTCTATTTTCAGCAGGTTGAGCTTATACAAGCATTTCTTGCCAAAAGCAATAAAACATGAGTCAGTATCACACGTGGTGATGGAAAGACATGGAAAAATCATGCAGCTTACTGAAAAACTGAGTTAGCCAATCCAGCTCCAGCTTGTAAGCCTCTCCATTACTTGTACTTATTCCTCACCTTGCTTTGTGAGGTCTTCTACTGCTTTGAGGAGGGAGTTACTGATGAGTTGTGGATTTGGGGTTTTCTTGTATTTTTCCTAAGTGTTGAATTTTATATTAGAATAATAGAATCATAGAATGGTTTGGATTGGAAGGGACCTTTAAAGGTCATCTAGTCCAACCCCCCTGCCGTGGACAGGGACATCTTCAACTAAACCAGGTTGCTCAGAGCCCCGTCCAGCCTGACCTTGAATGTTTCCAGGGATGGGGCATCCACCACCTCTCTGGGCAACCTGCTCCAGTGCTTCACCACTCTCATTGTAAAAAATGTGTTCCTTGTATCTAGTCTAAATCTACCCTCTTTCAGTTTAAAATCATTACCCCTTGTCTTGTTGCAACAGGCCCTGCTAAAAAGTTTGCCACCATCTTTTTTATAAGCCCCCTTTAAGTCCTGAGAGGCTGCAATAAGGTTTCCCCAAAGCCTTCTCTTCTCCAGGCTGAATAACCCCAACTCTCTCAGCCTTTCTTCACAGGAGAGGTGTTCCACCCCCCTGATCATTTTCACGGCCCTTCTCTGGACCCGCTCCAACAGGTCCATGTCTTTCTTATGCTGAGGGCTCCAGAGCTGGACGCAGTACTCCAGGTGGGGTCTCA